CCATGAGGATGATTTGCTACATGCTCTTGACCCAACGACAGTCCCTCCACCCCCAAAATCTGCTTTTCTCACCAACACATTCCACTAGAAGGTGCACTCCAAGAGTGACAGGGGAAAATGCACTTTTCACAAGGGAAATCATGGATCATGCCAAGAATGGTGGGCATCTCTGTGACTGTACCATCCAACTGAGAAAACACAATTAGTTCTGCTGGTATCACATGTACCCTGGTCGGGAAAGTTTGAGCTAGGAATCCTGCTGTTTTTGACCAACAAGACCTGGCGGTGACTACCCACTGCTCAGACTGCTTGTATGATTGGGTAATTGCAACACAAATATATGTCTTCATGTGTAAAAAAAATGGTACATGTATTAAGGGCAGCTCAGTGAGCTAATTCTACAGTGTATTGACTTGAGCCCTTTCCCACATGCTCAGGGACATGATGGAATCAAGAGTTGCAATCGTATAGAAGAAAAAGGACAGTCACACTATTAAAATAAATTAAGCTAGAGATCTAAATTAATCAACAGTCTTTGAAGAAATAGTCCAGAACTTCAATGATTAAATCAGAAAGTCCGGCATTGATTACTGAGAAGTTCAGAACATTGACTTATTTTGGTATCAATTTGAAAGAATATACCAGTACCTGTACAGTCAATTTACCCTAAATTTTACTGATCATTTTGATTTCTAAAATTTTTAATTTTTGTGCTAAGACTGACAAATAGAGAATGATCTTTGGAATTCTGGACAGACATCAAGGCAAGTTACAATTGTGAAACCAGAACTTGGAAACTGAATGAAGTAACGTTACATGTAATATTAGACTTGCCAGTTTCCACTGGCCATCTTTCCTAAAAAAGAGACCAAAGTGAGACAGAATGCAAGAAGGATAGGCAGATTGAAAGAAAAGACTGTGCTCCAGCTTTACCCTGGCAACTCCAGTGTGGTTTGAAAAGGCAGCAGTGACCCAGATATGTCAATGGTCTGTGACAGTTTGTCCCTACTGTAAATCCCTCAAGGAGACCTGATCTCCTGTTTCTGAGATATCTTGGACTTTTCTCCTGGTTCCAAAGAATTTTATTTCATTTTTCACAGATGGAAGTTATAACACAAAGACTAACGGCGCTGAATGGCAGCCGCTCCAGACCCTTGCGATTATTAAAGCCCCAAATAATTGTAAGCTCCTTTTTCAATGCCTCCTTTTCCTACTGTCTAAGATAAATTCAACACAAAGGGCCTCTTTGGAGCTACCTTTACAATATGTACTACTACCATTTTTCTGTCGCTTGCATGTACATTGTATATGTATACAGGATATTCTAACTCCCATCTGGGCAGCTCACTGTAGTGGAGGTCGTCATACCAAATTAACCAAGCCTGTTCAAGACTTGTGTATCACTCACTGCCTATACTAGTCAACCACTGTCTCAAACCAAACACCCATGTGGTGCCTTGCTGCTGTCTTGGTCTTGAGGGTTAAGGTAGCCAACATCAACTTGCTGATGATTCTGCTACACTGTAGTATTTGGGCTGTAGAATTTTTTGGACCATCGCACACCGGGCATGCCCCTACTCTTTTTTGAAAGGTGTGGTGGGATCTTTAACGTGCTCGAGGTGTGGCTCTCCTCAAACACGGCGGGGACCTCCAGTTTACGTCCTATCCGAGGGACGTCCCTAACCGAAGCTAGGTACTACTCATTTACACCAAAGATAAGTGTAACTATTTTTTGAGGCTACTGAGAGAGTTTTTTGCTGCTGAAAACTCAACCATAACGTTGGGCGTCCAAACCGACATTTTGGCGGCGGCGGCCTGCGCAGCCCTTCCCATGCTGTTTTTGAGCGAGGTGTTCTAAATAGAACAGGGGGTGGGGCTTACGGTGTTAGACCCATTGTACAGTCATTACATTGTAGAACATAGAAACCAACTGGGTTTGACTGAATATGTAACATGGCTGCATGGTGAATCCGTATTTGGTAGCGTTCAGTGTTAATTACTTTGTCTGTGCTTCCCTGTCTTGGCTTGTGGGCCAAAGCACTCTTTTTTTTATTTTAAATTGGCACATTGTGAAAAGCATTGGTAGCATGTAGGGATTTCATTTCCCAACTCCATTGTGTCCAGATAACACTGGGGTCTAATGAGAACACACACGTGTACTACATATGCCAGAAGGATGGCAGGCGTAACTAAGTGATTTATCCATGGTACCCCAAGTAACCATGGAAGTCTTGCACCTTCTCTCCCAGAGCCATCATAACATGGACATCATGTACATAGGTTTTGGAACCAATTTAAATATACTGTAGTTCGTGAACTCAAATGCTCTTGGGTAGAAGTAGACATACTGAGCTACAATAACAACAACTGCTTATATACAGGTTGCATACACCTGGTTGACCTTTAGCAAGTTAAAGACAGAATCATGAACAGATATTCATATATTACCTTAAAACTTAAAAACTGTTTAAAGGCCATTACATATTGTTCTTCATCAGATCTGCTTCCATATAATGACCACTTTGACCCTCCCTCTGAAAGATTGTACCATCTGAGCTATTACAAACTCATCTGTCATGCCTGTAATCCTTAAACAAACAAAGTCGACCTGTGAGCCCCAGAACAACTACTGGTCAGGGTATTGCTGGCTCTGTTCCTTGGGCATTGCATTAAAGACCTATTTTACACAATTTTAAAGTGGTGCATGCCAAAACTGTGTCTTAAGTTCTTTTGGCATTTGCCTAAGACACATCTACAACAAATTTCAGGTCGTTAGGTTGGAATATAAGGGCACAAAAGCCAAAAATGTACATTTTCTCTGGAAAGACCACAAAAAAGCTGTTTTACACAAATTCGAAGTAGTGTTCACTAAAAGTGTAACTAAAGTTCCTTGGGCATATGCCTAAGGCACCTCTATACCAAATTCCAGGTAATTTGTCTGTAATATTAGGGCACAAATGCCCAAAATGAACATTTTTTTTGGAAAATAGCAAAAAACACCTATTTTACACAATTTCAAAGACAATGTTTAGCAAGGGGTACAAAAGTAAGTAAGGTTTCCTGAACATTTGCCTAAGGCATCCCTTTACCAAATTTTAGGTCATTAGGGCACAGGAGCCAAAAATGTACATTTTTGTCTGAAAAGCACAGAAAAGAACAATTTTACACAGAATCAGAGTATTGTGTGAGTAGATTATATTGGGCATATGCGTCAGGCAACTCTATACCAAATTCCAGGCCATTTGGTTGTAATTAAAGGGGACAAGATCCGAAAATGTACATTTTTTGTCTCAAAAGAGCAAAAAAGACCTATTTTATACAATTTTACATAGTGTATACCAAAGTGCTAGAGACATTCTGTGTGCATATGCACAAGGCACCCCTGTACAAAAATTCCAGGGCATTTGGCTGTGATATACGGCACAGAACTCAGGAGACAAAAATGTACATTTTTGTCTGAAAACACAAAAAAAGACCAATTTTACACCATTTTCAAGTGGTGTATACCAATATTGCAAAAGACATTCTGTAGGCATACATGTATGCTCTAGGCAATACTTTACCAGATTCGATGTCATTTGGCTATTATACTAGGGCACAAGAGCCAAAATGTACATTTTCTTCTGAAAATAGCAGAAAAGACCTGTTTTACACCATTTTCAAGTCATGTGTGCCCAAAGTGTAAATGTCATCCTGTGGGCATATGCCCTAGCCACCCCTATACCAACTTTCAGGTCAATTGGTTCTAATTTAAGGGTACAGGAGCCAAAAATGTACATTTTTAGCTGAAAATAGCAGAAAAGACCTGTTTTACACCATTTTCAATTGGTGTATGCCAAAAAAGGCAATGGGATTCTTTGGCCATATGTCTTATGTACCTCTATATCAAGTTTCAGCTCATTTGGTTGTAATATTAGAGCATAGGAGCCAAAAATGTACATTTTTTGTCTGAAAATAGCAGAAAAGACCTGTTTTACACCATTTTCAAGTGGTGTGTTCCCAAAGTCTGAATGTCATTCTGTGGGCATATGCCCTAGCCACCCCTATACCAACTTTCAGGTCAATTGGTTTTAATTTAAGGGTACAGGAGCCAAAAATGTACATTTTTATCTGAAAATAGCAGAAAAGACCTGTTTTACACCATTTTCAAGTGGTCTATGCCAAAAGTGCAAATGACATTCTGTGGACATATACCCTAGGCACCCTTGTACCAACTTTCAGGTCATTTGGTTGTAATACCCGGTCTCCAGAGCCCAAAATATATAGTCTCTGTATTGCTTGAAAGCAGCGCTGGCACGAATTCAAGGGATTTCTACAGTCTAGTATGGACTTGTACCACAGTAGGCTGCCTTTATCAGACTAGTAGGCCAACATCCTTCAGACTAGTAGGCTGACTTAGCTGGACTAGTAGTCTGAGGCAATGGTCTACCAGTCTGTTCCACTCAGACTACTAGGCTCGGCAACTTTACATGTCAAATATCTCGACAACCGTATGTGATATGACCAAAATAAAAACACCATAATGTAGAGGAAGAAGTGCCCTTTGCAATGATGTATAAAACTTTGCTGTTCTTTGATTCTAAAAATTTTTAATTTAGCCACAATTTGGAAAGTGACTTTCCAAATTTAAAGTGACCAGTGTTTATACCATTATTAGTTCACAGTTTGTTAACCTGTTCTAAAGAACATTCTAGAATGGTCAGTTAACGAATAAAGATCATTTCAAAGTTTTCGAAGTCAGGTATGTTTGATTTTTGCTGCGTCTAGTTGTGTCGACACAGCATTACATGCCACATGGTTGATTTAGTTGTGACATTAGACGAAAGTAGTACTGTATTAAAAGCCTTATATTAGGCTAACGCTACACAAACACACACCCCACTATGCACCCCTGTACAATATAAACATTGATTGACCGGCATTCACTGCGGTAAACAAACTGTGACGTAATAATGGTATAGGTCCATTCACAACAGCATGTAAAAGAAAAGAAAGTCTCACTTCATACAATTTTAGAAGTTCGACAAGTGGCTGCCAGATACTGGCAAAAAGCCATTTTTTTTTAAACAGCCTTCAATTAGCAGAAGCGGAATCTGTTCACTGGACAATTTCACTGGTTCAATAGATGGGTAAATGGATGAATAACTCCTTCTTTAGTCAGCTGGTCTATAATATATTATGACTACAGGCCACTTGACAAAGTGGCTTCCAGGCACAAGCTCCTATCAACAGTCACAGAAGTGTTCAAGCCAGTCTGAATTTTTTTCCATTATCTCAGCTTTGTTTGACATAATATCATATCAAGCAGAAACGCAACAATCCTAGGAGGGTCCTTGGAAGTTGGAGAGATTTTGGAAATCCTGATACATTTTTTCCTGCATTTTGACGGAAAAATTTTACCCGCAGACTAAGCTTACATGTTGTTAAATGGCATCTTTTTCCCTCTCTTTACACACTGATTTTTGTCTGTCAAAGATGGCGGATAGAGCAAAATCTTTGTCCCACATCTCCAGCCAAATCGTGATAAATGGCGGAAAGATGGATGCTGGCTAGAACACTGAGTCACAGCCTGTGGTAGGCTGAAGCAGCATCTAAGTTGGTTAAAACTGCACGGTTTGACTGGTTCAGTTTGAACTGCTTCCATCAGAAGACTCCCCTTCACTACTGTCAGACTCCTCGCTCGACTCCTCACTACTCTCCTCCTTCTTGGCCCTGTAGTTCATGCGGTTGTTGCTAGAGGAGCTTCCCGAGGACACGTTCCCGTTGCGCCTGCCCTGCGGGATGAGCGGCCGGCGCGTGAAGGTGTGGTACTGGCGGCGCGGCGGTGCCCCGTTGGCGGGAGAGTTGCTGCCCGAGGACGAATCCGAGTCTGACTCCACCACGCCGTTAAATAACGTGTCATTCTTTAGCTTGTCATCCTGGAGAAACAAAAGTATTTGATTTAATTGATTTTTTGATTGATTTGATTTTATTAGTTTGTACATAAAGAAAACTGACAATAATAATACAAAACAAGGATAAAACAGGTGCTGGAGGAGGGGAGCATGGAATGCTTATGCAATGCCCTCCTCCTCTAAACTATACAAAATTAAATATAATCAATAAATGGAAATAATACAATAGAAAATGGAAATACATGTAATACAGTAAGGATAATCAAATAATGTAAGATATAAATTTATGACAATGAAATAAGGTAATGTAAGTTATAAATACAGTGCAATAATGATAATGATACATTGTAATAATTGATATGAGTTAAAATAAGAGAAAAACACTAAATGAAACTACTACAGGGGGCTAGGTTCATTTATCAGATGGTTTTTCAGAGCTTGTTTGAGTGAGAGAAGAGACAAGGTGGGATTCTTTAGGGCTGGAGTTAGTTCATTCCATAAGGTGACACCTTACATGCAATTACCCCTCGGGCATGAATTTGGAATAAAACTTATTATTGAAAGGAAGGATAAGGAAAGGAAGAACAGTAAGAGTTCATACACAAAGTTTCTTAAACTGGAAACCTCATACCTACATAAAATATTTAAGAGCTTTTGACCCAAAAAGATTTCAGCCACCAAAGTCCAAGAACATGGCATGTCCATGTCGGAAACAAATTGGAAATTCTGCTGCAGTACCAAGGTCACCCACCAGGAGGACCAAATTTGACCTAGACCTTTGTTTTTCTACCCTACCCAAATACCAAATATCATCACAATCCATGAAGGCCTTCCTAAGTTATGCTCCATAAAGGCTTTCATAAGTTAGGCCACACTGACTTAATTTTATGGTGAATAAAAAAAATTCCAGCCAAAAATAAAAATGCTTCTAAACCACAGGAATACAAAGCTGGTATTGTGAATTTGCGGTAGTACACAGCGACGTATACATTGTACCACAAGCTGGCACATGCTGGCTTTTTGCGGAATTTATGACTTGGCACTGTACGTACTGTTTTTTAGTCGTGCAGCCTGGGTGCCGTCCTCCAGAGTTCCAACAGGCTCTGTATTGTCGCTAACTACCATGGACTCCCAGGCAAAGAGCCAGGCCAGAGCCTCGGAGGACGTGATCTTTTTTTTTTTTTTTTTTTTCCGTAGAGCAGACGAAAATCAAAACACGCACGGATGTCATCCATAAAATTGAGTAGGTGTGGCCTAATATATGCTTAACACAAATATGCAGAAACATAGCCCAGAAGAGAACAAGAAATAGCCATACCTTTAAGTACCAGAATTACAATGTACCAACCAAGGATTGAGGTGTTCAAGAATTCATTCTTTCCTAGAACTATTGCAGAGTGGAACTCACTGTCACCAAGTACAGTAGGGGCATTGTCAATAGATAGTTTTAAACAAAGTCTACAGCTAGAAGTTCAAGGGTTTGGTGTAACAAGTCGATCGGTGTGATATAGCCAGCTGCTGCCGTGCCGCGTGCCAGCGAAGCTGGTGTGTTACGCCGAAAGGCGGTTATACCGGCTATATAGATACAGATACAGATATTTGTCTCACAAACACACACACACAAAACCATACCAGTTCTTTCTCTGCCTTCTGTATGAGTTCCTCCATGGCCTGTTTCCAGCCCAGGATGCGGGTGAACCTCTGTATGCCCTGCACCAGGTCCCCCAGCTCTGCACAGTCTGTGTCCCGTAACGGCACCCGGCCAAACGGACCCACAGGGTCCCTGTTAAACAGCACTCTGGGGACGTAACCTCGAGTAGAGTTCACTATACTGGCAAACGGCTCTACCTGGGGGTGAAGAAAAATAAGTTTTAGTGGGAGAAAGAAAAAAAACAGTTTTAATACTAGCCATCAATGACGTCATGCATGGGCAGTGAGCGTGACAGGTGATTTGCCTAGCGCTAATTTCCATATGTCTTTGAATAATGTGCATGTATACATGTACATTATATAATAATTATGATAAATACCTGGTTGCCCAGTTGCCCCGGGCAACCAAATTTTACTTGGGGCAACCTATTTTTGAACCTAGGTAGCCCAGTGTGCTACCTGAATTTTAAGAATGCCCCCCCCCCCCAAAAAAATCATGCCAATGCACTTGGCTTGTACCACTGCAGATGCTTTTTAATTTCAGATATTGATGGTATTACTAGTATTACATGTAGTTAACCAAAGGCTAAAGGGAAGTAGTAACTTATAGGTGGGGCAACCTAAAATTCTGATGGGCATCCTAATTTTTGCTGTAGGTTGCCCACTGCGCAACCTGGTTCAAAAAAGTATTTTGTACACTGTGATATGACATAGATATAGACATTTCTGGACAGTTCAGATATTGTACAACATGCAACAACTCCTTAACACATCATCATCATCCTTTCTAGGTCTAGACCTACTGATGGTAGAATCTTTGAGCACTAAACAAACCCACCTCTAGTGATGTCCCCATAACCAGCAGTAGATCACACACAGGGAAGTCCTTCAGGTAGTAGTAAAATCTTCTCGGTAAGTCTTCACCAAAAAATACTATGTCTGGTTTTATCTTACCCTAGAGATTGAAGACAGAATAGAAAATGAAACCATCAAGTTGCAGTAACTTTTCAATAGAATGCTGTCCTTTTTGTTCACTAACTTTGGTGAAAGGTGTTATTTTGCAAAAACTGTATAACTTGTGGCTAAGCGTTTGAATAGTTACTCAAATAGTTAGAATTGTAGTTAACATTCCTTTACAAATCAAATTTGAGCTCAGGTTAAATACAAAATATGTCAAGTCAAGTCAAAGTTTATTGCACAACGATTGTCACGGGTACAATGTATTGCAAATAATAAAGTTACTAGTTGGTATGAGTCTATCATAATGCTATATGGTCAACGGCTACTGTGTCTGACAGAGTGTTATAAAGAACTATACTGGCTAGAAAATATTTCAACTGTACATGTACATATACATTCTACATTACACTAAACTATACTTATGAAGGGTACAGTGAGCAGTTGTACCTATACAAAACATGCTCTACATGTATGACTACTAAACAGAATGTCGACTAAATTACTTGCCAGGAATGTTACAATTCTACATATAAAATAATAAATTATGTATTGAAGAAATGAACAAAAACACCCAAATTATCAACTCTATCCTGTGATACGTGATGGACCAAACTGTACTTTTTGAATATGACCACAATCTAGTTTTGGAACAAGACCAGTCCTTACCTTGCACCATTTACTGTTTGTACACTTTGGTGTTTCCCCCCTCATTATGGCAGCCTGTAAGACAAACAATACTTCACTTGTTTTCAACAATTCAAATTCTTCAAGACTGGTTTACAATTTGCTAATTCAAATGACCACCAAGTATGGCACAGGACACTGTGCAAACAAAGGACTGACTTTGACACAGGCCACTCGCCAAGCTGAGGAGACCTAACCAAGTACAAGTAAGGCCACAGCAAGTAAATTTTATGGATGACATCCTCCGCAGACTCCAAATCTAATGCGAGCGGGTGAAAAAAACAAGGCGGGCCGAAAAAAACAAGGTTCCTACATTTAAAAATTTTTAACCATAAGTACAAGTGGTTTTGATTCAGTGGGAACATCACATATAGGCAGCCAACATCACATACATGTATCACTGCATCAAAGTCACAAAGAAAACATTAAATCAGAGCCTTTTCTTGTCTGCTCTCTTCATAGTTACATGTATATGCCATCCACCTTCCGGCATGGCAGCAGACATCTAAAATTGCCCATATTTTTTTGGCATGTTGACCACTGTCAGAAGGCAACAAAATTTCTTGTTGTTTTTCCCCCAAATCAGGCAAAAATTAATGCGCGCGCTGATGTCATCCATAAAAATTACTTGATGTGGCCTAAGAACAATTCAAACAAGCTGTGCAAGTTTCCAGTCTGGCCTTACACAGCTTGTAATTTCTGTACAAAACTGTGTTACGTCTTTATGTAACCAATTATGCAGAACAAACAAGTTACAATGATGATCACAAGCATGATTTTCAATTTTAACTACAGAATAAAAATACTCTTTCACAACTTAGGCCACACCAATTTAATTTGTTGGTTCTTGGATTTGCCTCTTTTTTTCCTGATTTCCAAAAAAAAAAGATTCTGCTTCTGAATCAACTCAAAAATGCTCACATTTTGTCCCCAACAGTTGAGGAAAGTCCTTTTCTTCCTACTTTTTACAGTTTTTCCATCTATCAATTCAGTGGCTTGATTAGAGTTCAAAATTCCTTATTTAGATATAGACCTAGCCCTTTGTTTTGACTTCATGGCTCCTATCATAGCATTTTGGGGAATGCCTGGACCTGTTTTTATTTTTTTCGTCCTGTCACTTCATATTTTTTCTGAAAAAATCCGAGAACCAACAAATTATATTGGACCAGGTGTGGCCTTATGTATACATGTAACAACTTAGGCATTGTTTGTTTGTTTGTTAAGTTCCTACCTTGATATGTTTCCCTGAGTATCTAGCATTGCACCTGACACAGGAGGCCGTGGCAAATGTTCCGTGAGCTTCCACAAGTTTGGCCTCGGGAATTCCTGACACTGGAACACACAAAACATGAAACATTGTCATTAGTTCAATCTAAGTCTTGCACAATGTTTCAATCTAAAACCTTTATCAAGTCAGCATGGATTCTTAATGCATGTTTGTTGACAAGGACACCATTTTCAGATGACAAGTCAGGATTAGATAACCATACACTAGAGCTGTGTACATGTACCTCCAAAACAAATTTTATTGGTACATGTACACATGTTAAGGTATGGGTCCGGACCTGTACCCGTACCTCAACAGCTTTGGCCTGAATCATGTAGCCAACTGTCTTTTTAGTTGTAAATTTTTGTCTTTGCATGAGGGTTTACATATAATTCAAAAACAATATTTTTTACTGCAAGTGAACTATAGTAAAGGTAAGAAAAGAGCCTGTATTGTATGCTAGACTGTGACTTACTTCTCTCTAGCCCGTCTATATTCTGGGTGTACATCCTGAGTAACAGTCCCTTCTCGTGTAGGAGGCGTATGAAGTAGTGCACGTAGTTGGGCCTGTAGTTCCCCGGGTACAGCTCCTTAGCCAGGGTGTAGAACGGACGTGAGTCCATGTGGAAGTAGTCGATGTCAAATATGGCCTCGGGGTAGGGGATGTTATACTGCTGCAGGTTGTCATACAGACCAGTACCTGGAGACCTGAGGTGGGGTTGACAGAGGCGGAAGTACGAGTTAACATCATTTATGTCATACCTGGGACGCGATTACGTTCGATACAGGTGTTCCGGCCCGTGTGATAACTAGCGGTACGGCCCCTAAAAAGGATCAGTGCCTCAGTATAAGGAAAAGAACCTGAAGATGGCATACAGAAAGGCCAAGGACAACAATCGGAAGAGCGGGAGGAACGGTTATACAAACTGCATGATCATGGCTGATTAATTGGATATTCACCGGACAGGATTTTTACAAAACCGGTTATGAAAAATCTGTTATGAACGCTAAGGGTTTTAGCCAGGTTTTAATTATTTAGCGGTTTCAACCAGTTTTAAGAGTGTGGTATGAACGGGATCCAAATGTAGACTAAGTGAATAAAGAACTTTGATATGATAAAAAAACGGACATAAAACCATCTCAAGAAGTAAGAACTAGAAGATGTCTAGTGTCTGACCTGAAGTCAGGGATGCCACTAGGAGTGCTGATCCCAGCCCCTGCCATCACCACCACGTTCTTACACTTCTTGGCCAGGATGTACCTCGCCACGTCATCGATACCAGCAAACGTCTTCCCACCTCGACCGCCGGCGGAGGAGCTGCCGCTACTCTTTCTGGACGATGTCGATATCGCCCTGGATGATGTTGATATCGCCCTGTTAGAGGGGAAAGGGAGTATCTGTGGCTCAGTACACGTATACAATGTAAGTGTTAAAACTGTGCACGAAGACCACTCAGGGACCAATAAAATGTGGGCTATGTGGACAGGTGTTCAAAACAGTACAACGAAGTGTTCAAAACAGTTCAAGTGTTCAACAGTAGAAGTGTTCAAAACAGTAGATGTGTTCAAAACAGTAGAAGTGTTAAAAACAGTTCAAGTGTTCAACAGTAGAAGTGTTCAAAACAGTAGAAGTGTTCAAAACAGTAACTAAGTTCAAGTGTTCAACAGTAGAAGTGTTCAAAACAGTAGAAGTGTTCAAAACAGTTCAAGTGTTCAAAACAGCCCACAAGTGTTCAAAACAGCTCACAAGTGTTCAAAACAGCGAGCGCCCACCTTGCAGATTTCTGCTGCCCAGGAACACTAGTTTTTGTCTCCTTCACTGATAACTTCTGGAAGGAGGCGGCGAGGGAGGTCTCAGACTTGCTCTTGGCCGGCAGGGCGCCGACTTTCCTGCCCTTCGCAGACCCGCCATCTTTCTTACCCGCTGACCCCGGTGGGGTCGCTGAGGAGGTCGATGACCTCAGTTGTCTGGTCTGCGGCCTGCTGGGATTGGAGTTGGAGGACTTGGAGCGAGGGGCCTTGGTGGCGGCATTGGTGACCCCTAGCAGCAGACACAGGAATTACAGGTTAGATGCCTGTCTGAGGTGTCAATCAACAGATGTAAGTTTCAATATTCAATCAACATCAATGCCTGGCATATGCTGTATTTAAATGTTCAATCGGACATACCAGAAATACAGTAACTGATTAGATATCAAAGAAAAGTCTGTCAGCTGATGAGTGTCGCGTCATATCATAGAAATTCCTTAACAGTGCACACCCCAGTTCTTCCGCGACCGGGGTCCGTGGTAGTCCGTGGTAAAAAAAAAAGTGACGAAAGGGTTTTGAGGGTCCAAGTTTGAGGTGACATTTCTCAAAACTGCCACGAAATATCATTAAACATTAACATGGCTGAAGAGTGTAAGAAATGGTGATTTTGGGGTGAAAATTTCTTTTGGCTCCTAACTAAGTACTAGTACTTCCGGGTATCCTTGCGCACCAAGCGTAATCCGCCTGTTTGACCTAGATTTTGCTCTGCACCTTCCAAGAGTGGATTTGCGACCCCTCACGCCAAAAACTTCAGTACTAGAATTTTCTTTATAATTTACTCGGGTATAGTCAAGGCTTGGGTCTTTCTGCCAGCATCAGTGGCTGTCATTTTTGCCAGAAAATTTTTTCTATGGGATTATCCTACGCGAATATTCGCAATTTTGGGCATTAATTTTGGAGTGAAAATAATGTTTTTTCTGTTGATTTTACCAAACTTAAAAAGGCTGAAGAAACCAAACTCAGCTGGTCTTGTAGCTGAAGAGATATCCTTTCGTCCCAATTATATACAGTTATTCTCCTTCCGAATTATTCCACGGAAGAGATGGTCGCTAGATTTGAGGGTGTGCAGCTTCGAATAGGAACGCCAAATAAACTTAATTCATCATACAAAATGTAATATGGGACGAGAAGTTTTAACACAACACAAATGCCACATATTCAATCTAAGGTGCATGGGATAATCCAGGTCTTACAACTCATTTTCAATTCAGTTGTAGAACTAAGAAGAGCGTTTTACATTTCCAAAATAGAGTAAAGACCCGGATCTGCAAATGAAACTGAAATGTTATTTGTCAATCCTTTAGTTCTGTTTGGTCAGCACACCTGGAGGACAGGTGATCTACAGGTGACATGACACACCTGTATACAGAACATGTCTGCCACAAAAGACATCATCCGGGCTTCTGACAACTACTCATTAAAGATTAAGGTACCGTGGAGAACATTGCTTTGGATTAGACACTTTCTCCATCATTCATACAGCATTTTACAACTGAGTCTTCTCCCTGCTCAAGTTGCCTTTTCTTTCTTCAATCTTTCTTTCTTTCTTTCTCTCTCTCTCTCTCTCTCTCTCTCTCTCTCTCTTTACAACTGAGTCTTCTCCCTGCTCAAGTTGCCTTTTCTTTCTTCAATCTTTCTCTCTCTCATTGTATTACCTTTATGTAAAACATTGTATTACCTTTATGTCCTACCTGGGCCACGTTTAACTTCGATACAGGTGTTCTGGCCCGTGTGATAACTAGCGGTATGGCCCGGGGGTTCTTATAATGCGTACAGCCTGGGCTTCCAAATGTTCCATAGAATGACTCAAATGCGTTTCGGCCTAACTGCGTGCACCGCTTTCGAAAATTCGAATACAAAATTTGGACATTGGAATTGATGTTGTTGCATTTTTTGGGTTTAGGGACAACACATTTTCGCTCATTTCGCATTGAAAGGCGTGTTTTCTTGGCTGGGTATGACATAAATAAAATACAACACGGTGTATTCCGCATCACCCTCGGTCCCAGCCCTCCCGCGGATCAGATCTCCCTCCGGCCTTCAGCCATCGGGCGATTCGATGCGCGGTCGAGCGGGGATCTCGGGCGATACGGAATACCCCATGTTGTATTCTATATTTACCGCAACTCACTAAAATGACCAATTATTGATGCTGTAGAAAGGCCTCAGGCGGAGGCTAATACATACTGTATTGTGGGCAACAAAGTACATGTATGTTTCTAAAGACTCTTAACTTTTAAACTGCTACACATGTTTGTAGTGGTTTGGATTTTGTTCTGGGAGTGAACTAGATATAGTATATATAGAATTTTGTCTCTAGAAGTTTTCTAATTTGGACAGCAGGTGGTCATTTTCAGCAGGATTGGTGTAAACATGAGGTCAACTTTGTACGAATTGTTTTGTCAACAAATAATGAAAAGGGGTAGCACACATAGTCTGTAAAAGTGCAAGACAAAGACACACAGTGGATGGGGTCTGATTTCACAAGTATTAATGAGGAAAGATGCCCAAAGTAACATTCAGCAAAAAAAAAAGTAATACGCATCTTATTCTTAGGCCACATCAATTAATTTGTTGGTTCTCAGATTCGCCTCTTCATTTTTTTCTAGATTTTAAAAAAAAAAAGATTCTGGGTCTGAACCATTTCAAAAATGCTCATATTTTGCCCCCCAACAGTCGAGGAAGGTCTTTTTCTTCCTACTTGTCACAGTTTTTTCCACCCATCAATGCAGTGGTTTGATTAAAAGTTCAAAATTCATTGTTTGAATATTAACCCAGTCTTTTGTGTTGACTTCATGGCTCCTATCATAGCATTTGGGGCTATAATAGGATGCCCAGACCTGTTTTTAATATTTTGTTTTTCGCCCTGTCGCTTCATATTTTTTATGAAAAAATCCGAGAACCAACAAATCAAATTGGTGTGGCCTTAAGATTGGAAACAGGGACAGTGAAGTGTGATATCTGGGATAAACCTGGAACGACTGTTTTTAGACGAAACGGTCAATTATAAAACTTTACGAATAAGTTATTCAGAACGAACGCTAGCCTGGATTCCAGACAAATATAGCACGCAAGGCCCAGAGATAGCCAGCAGCCTACTCTCCAAGCAGAGGTTGTGGGGGAATGATTGTTAGCTTTTTATATATGGCCGTTTATTGCTACTGGTGGCTGCCAACCTTCTCTGGCTAATGGATACTGCCTGGCCAATTTGATACTCTCTTTTTGCCACCGAGAGGGATCTGCTTAGAGATCACCAGTGGCCTACAGTAGCTAATCAGGCGGTCTGTGGTATAATTTCATGTAGGCCCAGGAGCTGAAGAATTGGCCTATGTTAGTATGTACAGTACATGTAGGCTATGGAAACAGCCTGGCACCCAGGCTACACAAAAGTACAAGTCAGATACGTATTATATATTAACCCACCGTTTTCTTTCCTTATATCCCGGATCATAAGTCTGACAAAATGGCAGAAACACCTGGTGACGAGGACAAACACCACAAATCTCACCACCTGCACCAAGGTCAGACCGACCTCCTCAATTCTCCCAACATTTGGTGCGCTGGAAAAATTCTCAGCTTGGCAAAAGTGGCCCAATGTTGGCTCTGACATACTCGGAAATGAACTGACACTTTCACACAAACATTTCTCTTTTTTTGTCGGTTTTTAATCAAGCCCGAATAGTTTGAGCCGTTCCATAGTTCGAAACTCATGTGACGAAGGAACGGGCGGGTGTTCCAAGTTCCAACTTATCACGGGCTGAAGTTGATACATTTGAGTGGACTCAGACTTCAGTTTGTACTTGAAAGTACGACTTATAAAAACAGGTTTGTATATGATTTAGCTGATTTGGAGGACAAGTTAAGGACACTAGAAACTATAATTTCACGTTAAGGTTGCACACAAAATTGGTAACTTTGCAACGGTTATAATCTTTGCAACAAGCAACCAAAGTGCAGTACTGCAAGTGGTTCACTTACCTTTGCGAACGGTTGCCATTAAAACGGCAAGCCCCATGGACGTCCGATCTTCAGGGTGAGGACGTGGTCATCCCTCGAAATGTAGGAGAACGGCTGCAGATAGCGTTACGTACGGAAAAACCCAGGCGAACGAACCGGCTCCAAGTTAACTTCTGTTCTGCTTTCTGCAACCCTTGCGTGACAAGTCTCCCCACAGACCGCCGATTCACCACCGAATTGAAAGGAATTCTCCCCCCAAAGACATATACTTGCACGCACGGACAATGCGGATATGTGTAATATGACCAGAAATATTGAACGGCAAACAATAGAGGTTACCACATGGGCGCTGACATGGAACAAATGTTTAGGAATCGATCTTGACAACTTTTGTTGTTTGGAACTGTTTGGCCCGACCGGAAACGGAAGTGTGGGGGTTGTACCCTCCATGTGCATTGTGGGACTTCGATCAAGCTATACCATTTATAGGGGTGTTTTAAATACGCGAGGAGGTGTTTTTACTAGATCCAACAATTGTTTATTTATACACAAATATACTATAAATGAAGCTAAATCTTATTGGTCACATACAAAAGTATTCGCAGACGTCTTCTATAGACCACAAGGCATGTATGGATAATAAAGAACAAGAATGACGTCACCATCAGTGACCCCATTGTGACCTCATCAGCTGGTGTTGTCATGTCGCGAAACAGAGACGGAACTGTAACAGCGTGAATGCTGGTTTTCTGTCGTTCAAACGCTTCTACTTGGAATATTTTGTGACAAGTGGGTACACGAGGGTTCAAGATGATCCACCCAATGGTGTTGATGACCACATCCCTCACGATATGCGGGTGGGTGATGTCTTGGCTGGAGCACTACCACAACGGTAGGTGGGAAACCTTCCTACAGCGAGACCCAGCTGATGCCAGAATCACTGTCGTGGACACCGAGACAAGCTGCGAGGCCGTGTGCGGCAGGTTGGTGAGTGGAGCAGGGCTAGGGGACCTCCAGGCCCTGGGGTTTGACTGCGAATGGGTGACCAGGGGAGGCACAGCCCGTCCCGTGTCGCTCCTACAGCTCGCCTCACGCGGCGGAGAGTGTGGCCTCTTCCGGGTCTGTCGTCTCAGCGATGACTGGGAAATCCCACGGTGTGTGCGGGACTTGCTCGCCGATAGAAACGTCCTGAAGGTCGGAGTCGCCTGTTACGAGGACAGCCGGCGGCTGGAGAGAGACTACGGGATCACTGTGCGCGGGTGTGTGGACCTCAGGCACCTCGCGATCAGGCACAAATCTCTCCAGAACGGTATGTAATATTTCAGGTCTAGTGGTACTTTGGTCTCTTAGCGTTTAAATACTAGTATATCTTACTATAGAGAGAGATCCAAACAGTTCGATTACTTCTGCTGAGCCGTGTTTATTAGTCTGTACGTTAACTTTACTAAACAGTACCAGTATATGGTCTAATGGTTCACAGGGAGTTTAGCACTTAGTTACACAGAGGGTTACAGATGGTCTGGAGTTACACAGATGAGATACTAACAGTTATACAATCTACTAATCTATAGAGCTACAACTACACATCCTTGTAGTCCTTTGTCATCAACTGACTAACACAGCGATTGTCTCTTCCAAGCTCAACTATGAACATTAGTCCTTCACCTGATTGGTTGCTCTCACCAACCAATCAGTGCCTACCTAACGCGCAAATGTATGCATATATCTCTATACAAGTCTCTCCATATGGTCATTTACATATTACCCTAATTACAATAGTCATAACCGTTACAGGTAGACTCGGTCTGCAGGCTCTCGCCGAACGGGTGCTGGGGGTGAACATGGAGAAGAGTCGAACCGTGAGATGCAGCGACTGGGAGGCTCAAGAGCTGAGCCAGGAACAGATCACGTACGCTGCCAACGATGCTTTAGTGTCTGTTGACATCTTTACCACCTTTCTGAAGTGGAAGTTACAACAGAACGCTTCTAACAATGACCAGGGAAGATTCCCTACAACAGCAGATATGCGAACAGCGGTGAAAGCGATGTGTCAGGGGTTGGTGGACGTCCCCTTCTCTGGCTCTTACAAGGGAGGAAGAAAGAGAAATGGTCGCAATAACAAAGTACAACATCTGAACGGAGGACCTTTCCACAACGAGGATATGGGTACTCCACAAAATCATGGAGAGGAAGAGGGTCTGTCTTGTAATGGAGAGGCAGATCTAGATGCAATTCAAAATCACAAGGATAGAGCTCCAGCCGCCAGGAGAGTGAAAGGGTACACCGTCCGGCGGTCCCCTCTCTACCACAACTGTCAGCTGCGCGCACCTGACGGGACACTTCTCTGTACCATTGACCGTAAGAAGGTCCAGTGGTACCTGCAGAAGGACCTAGGGGAGCTGGTCAGCGAGGACCCGCTAACCATCCAGCTGAAGTTCGAACCGTCCGGCCGCCCGTCCAGCCAGGATGACCAGTACTACCTGTCCGTGAAGGAGAACGTGTGCTGCGTGTGCGGGCGGAGCGAGTCGTACATCAGGAAGAACGTGGTGCCGCACGAGTACCGCAGACACTTCCCCCGCGCCATGAAGGACCACCTGTCGCACGACGTACTCCTCCTCTGCACCGTCTGTCACCAGCAGACCAGTTACCATGACAACAGACTACGCAACCAGATCGCCAGGGAGTTCAACGCGCCCCTGGGGTCAGAGGACAACGTCAAGTTTCTAGAAGACCCTGTTCGAAGGAAAGCCCGGACGGCGGCTAAGGCTCTACTTCGTGACAACAATAAGATACCGGCTGAACGGAAATCAGAGCTGGAAACTCAGGTAAAAGAACACTACAACACGGAGGAACTCACTACGAGTATGCTTGCGGAGGCTGCCAGCCTAGAAACGCGGATAGAGAACGAGAACTTCGTCCCTCACGCCGAGAAGGTTGTACGGTCGCTCCTGGAGCGGGAGAACGGACTGGTCTCGTTTGAGAAGCGCTGGCGTCGCCATTTCCTGGACAACATGAAGCCGCAGTTCCTGCCGCCGCTGTGGTCCGTGGACCATAACCACGGCAGACTGGAGAGGAGCGGGGCGGCGGAGAGGGACGGGCAGGCAGTCGGGGATCAAACATCCACCTGATGTGGACAATTTACAACAGATGGCCTCGTGAACAGTGAGCCATTCAGGGACCTATCAGACTCAACTTAAACTGTTAAGATTCACGTATATAGAAGAACTTTATTGCACGACAATTGCACAAGGTACAATGTATGGCAAACTACAGAAAGAGAGTAACAAACAATAAAATAAATGTTGGAAAAGACCTAATGTCGAATAAAACCTAACATATCTTAATTATTCAAATAGTAAGGGATAGCACAAGTCTTTGATGAAGTGTTACAATCGAGTGGGCTAATCACAAGTTTCGGAATTTTTTCTAATAACAAAGCATTCCTTTATATATCTACCTATTTTTGCGTTGTGGGAACCATTACATGTGAAGATATATCCAAATCTGTCTACAACATCGAGACTTGTTGGGTAAAACATCTAGTTGGGTGTCAGTAAATAATAAAAGACTCAATGATGGCTCAAAGCTCTATCAACTGTAAAAACTAGCGATGTTTAATTTAAAGATACAGAAGAAGGTGCTGATGGAAATGTTTATCAGGTCAAATTGAAAGAATTGTGCAATATTTGTTTGGTCATCTTTGGTATTTTTATAGCCACACTTCTGTATAAGTACTTTCTGCTACTTGGCCATTTAGACCCGTGGAAGCTTTTTCGTTGTATCTTTCCTTCCGAGGTAAATGTATCCAGGGATAGATCCAGATCTTACAAATACTGTAGTGTATTTTAATGGGAACTAACTATTGGTGCGGACAGTTGTGTTGAATATTGGACCCATAACTGTGCACGTCTAAAGCAAGGAAAATACAAGTTACAGTACTACTAAACGTTATATTGTGTGTATGTGTGTGCATCAGCTATTAAATGTACGGTATCATTGTACTGTTTGATTAAGCAAGACTGGCATTGAAAAAATACATTGCCATGGCGACGGTGGTTGCTGTTAAGGTTATTGTATCATTTCATGATTTTGAGAAAAAACTTGGTACCTAGACACAGTGCATTCCTCCCCTGATTGTATAGTGAACGAGCCCCGGGGTCACAGAAAGTAGGGTCATCCGGGGCAGAGAGGTCTTACCAAGGGTTTCCAGGAATGTGGGCATAGATGTGGGTCAGAGACATGCCTGTGGACATTCCATTCCTGTGGACAAAATGCCTGTACCATTCCTAGAATTCTTGCAAACTGCACACAATACTGTACCATTAGGCTCCTCCCTGAGACGTCGCCAAAAACATGAAAGAAGAGTCCATTGGACGCAATCCTCCTTGAAGTAGTTTGCTGTGTTGCTAAGGTGCTTACTGGGATTAGTGGCCTTTGTCCGAATTTTTAAGGCCGGGTCACACCATTGTTATCCTTAATATTTACATTCGCATATTGATGGCGTTACTAAGTAATTAATTTATGGGTTTACGGAAATACCTTGGCTGCCTGCCAGGCCTGGCTACCTTGTCTGTCTACCAGGCCTGGCTAGCACGTCAGGCTACTCAAATCCACCATTCATATCCTCACGAAAGATAAGGCGTCCAAGCAGCTGCGCTCTCTAGCGAAATGCATGGAAACTACACCCATTACATCTGTACGTACGGGTACCCCTTACACACAGCAAGAAATCTACAGGGAAAGTAGGGATAAACTGATCTAGATATTATTTTTTGAAGTTTCAATATGTCAAGGGTAATAAACGGTAACAGGCAAGACAGTTTTAAGTCACCTTATTACCAAACTTCTCGCATTATGCTTCAAATCATAACACCGTCAATCTTTTTATTTTATTTTCTTCATTGTAGGTAACGACATGGACAAGACAAGCGACAAGCTTTCTGCTGAAGGGACGTCTACAGCACATACTGACGACAAGAAAGAAAGCGGGAAGGACGGAAAGAATGCACCCGACAAGAAGGCATCGTCACGTCAACATGCAAAAGCCCATAAAAGACGCAAGGCCCCGTCTAAAGCACATCTTGTTAGAAAAAGAGTCAGAAAAGAGGCGTGCAATGAGTGTGAGTTCATGGCCACTTGTAAAGCTGCCCTAGCTAAGCACATGGCAAAACACACCGGTAACAAACCATTTAAGTGTGACCAGTGCGACTTTGCTACTACGGCGAAATATACTCTAGACGTACACAAGGCTAAACGCACCGATGACAACCTCTTCATATGCGAAGAGTGCGGCTATAGAACGATGAGCAAAACTTGGTTAACTGTTCATATGAAAAAAATACATGGGAAAACACAAACTGTTAGAGAAAGACCCAGAAAACTCCCTTGGAGTGAGTGTGAGTACGTGGCCACTTGTAAGTCTAGCCTAGCTAGGCATATGACAACACACACTGGTGAAAGATCATTTAAGTGTGACCAGTGCGACTATTCTGCTAAGCTGAAATATAACCTAGATATGCACACGGCTCAGAAACACACCGGTGACAAACGCTTCGTATGCGACGAGAGTGGCTATAGAACGGTCAGCAAGTCTTACTTAACTGTACACATGAGATATCATACGGGCGAGAAACCGTACAAATGTGACCAGTGTGATCATTCTACTGCAAGGAAAGAGGACTTGGCCCAGCACATGATTAGACGCCACACAGGACTCAAACCCTTTATGTGTGGGGAGTGCGGATACAGGACGGCTAGCAGATCTGATCTGTGTCGACACATCACAAAACATACGGGCGATAAACGCTATAAGTGTGAAGAGTGCGGTTTTGCTGCTGCGCGGAAAGGCACTTTAAACGTCCACATGCTCAAACACACCGGTGAGAAACGCTTCTCGTGTGAAGATTGCGGTTACAAAACGACCACCAAGTTTGCGCTAACCCGTCACATCAGAAAGCACACCGGTGAAAAGCCGCACATGTGTTGGGAGTGTGGATTTAGGTGTTCCGCCAAGACTAATCTAGCCCATCACATGAGAAAACATACGGGAGAAAAACCGTACAAATGTGACCAGTGCGACTATTCTACTGCTTATCTGACGTCCTTGCAGCAACACGTGGCGAGTCATAGTGGACTCAAACCCTACATGTGTGATGAGTGCGAATACAGGACGGCTTTCAAGTCTAACCTATCCATGCATCTGAGCAAAACATCATTCGAGTGAGAAGCCATTCAAATGTGACCAGTGTGACTATTCGGCAGTGATCAAATACGATTTGGATCACCACATGTTAAAACACACCGGAGAAAAGCCCTACATGTGCGGACAGTGCGGATACAGGACAGTTAGCCGGTCTAGCCTTACCAAACATGTCAATACTCATCTAGCTTCGAAACCCTACAAATGTGACCATTGCGACTATTCTTGTGCACAGAAAGGTCATTTAGCCACACACATCGCTAACCATACCGGGGAAAAAACCTACAAGTGCGAGGAGTGTGGATACAGTACGGCTGTCAAATCCGCCCTTACCAAACATATGCAAAAACACTTAGCAACAAAACCCTACAACTGTGACCAGTGTGACTATTCTACTATACAAAAAAGCCATCTAGAGCGGCACATGGCCCAACACGCGGGAATAAAACCCTGCATGTGTGGAATCTGTGATTATAGGACGAACCAAAAGTGTGATCTAACGAAGCACATGAGAAAACACACCGGAGAAAAGCCCTACAGGTGTGACCAGTGCGACGTTGCCTTTGTAACAAAACGGACCTTAAACAGACACCTCACAAAAGCCCCACATGTATAAACATATATCATCTGTCGCGCATATGACCGCCATGACCTGGTTCCACCGGCCAGGACAACGGCCACTGGGAGGACCTTAAGAAATGGAACTGCACTTACAGTACCAGCGGCCCGTACGAAAAGACTGAAAAACTCTTTCTTACACAGGGCAATATGCCTGTACAATGAGTCTTCGTAGAAAGACTCTTAGGACTCTCTGGTCTTTACTCTAGTGCCCATGTGAGGCTGTTGTAATGTTGTTTTTTTGTTTCAGCATGTTTTTGTACAGGCTGCAAGGTTAGTTTTTATGAATAAACTGTTGAAACTGTTGGAACTTATATGAAGAACCATACAGGAAAAAAACACAGCCAGTTTGTGACTGTAGTTCTTTTTAGTCGAACACACAGGTGAAAAAGGAAAAATGTGAAAAGAAAATCCGTCCTCAAACCCCATTGTACAGTTATTTACATGTTGTGAACTTAGTAACTGCCTAGTGCCCAATTTGTATTATCTTATTGCAATCTAATGAGAGTCTGATAACTACTTAGTAAACCCTGTATTATATTGACCATGTAAATATAGTAAAAGGATGGCGATTAGGCCAGATAGCTTTTAGATAAATTGTTGCTTTTAGATAGCTTTCTGAAACTAAGCGATTTAATAACTGATTTATAGTTCTGTATTAATTTATAATATCGTAATAGCTAAAGTCTGTTTTCTTGTTACCTGGACGTTACCCACGTTTTGTGATGTAATTTTTATTTTATGTCTAGTAGTGACGTGAATATAAGCATATTGCGTGAGTGCGTTACCACTGTGTATTGTATTGTATTGTTTGCATGTTGAAATAGAAAAAGATAGCTTGTTATTAGTATAGGAGTACAGATAAGTTCTTTGGTACTCTGTGCCTTGATATTGTATAGATAGCAAACGCACGGACACATTTAATTAGCTTGTGAGCGTTAGGCTAATTAGTGCTATTATCATTGCAATAATTATAAATGCTATAATTATTGCTATATGCTCTTAAAATTTTATAGATTGCAAACGCATGGTTTTCAGCACAAACACCTTTAATTATCTTGTTAGCGTTAGGCTAACAAGACATCTGTTACCTAATGATATGTTAATGTATCTGAATTGTCTATTGCTTCTAATTGTTTACTGTCTTGTTATGAGGGTTAGCCATTTATAATAGCCTCCGGCTAGTTTGGCAGTCCTGATTGTATACTAGTATTTGTTTATACAGCTTGATAATACAAATCACAGTCTAATTTGTTTTCATTAGGTTATAATGATATGGTGCAAAAAGAAAATAAATACACGTAAACCATTGTAAACTGGCTGTGCATGTTTGTATTCATTTAGGTCACGAGGTAAAATGAGCTAACATATACAAACAAATAAATCATTCCTACTAGTACTTAGGCCACAACAAGTAAATTTAAATTCTATGGATGACATCCTCCGCAGACTCCAAATCTAATG